GGAAAACGAAGTTTAAGCGATTTTTATTTTTTCGTTTCTGGCCTTTTCCACCACCGCCACTGGACCAACATCCAAAAACTACGAAGGTTTTTGAGTCTTTGAAATACTAGTAACCTTGCGTTAAAAGTTCATCAAAATCCAAGCGGTACTTTCCAAGTTATAGACGAGTCAAGAATCGGCGGACAGACCTACAGACAGACCCACTGAAATGAGTGTCATGCCTTTTCGTGATCTATACAGTAAAAACCAAATTTGTTTGACGGATTGAGTTCAATGTGCACGAGAGAGAAGTTAAATTAAGATTCAAATTGAAAATATGCGTTAGTTTCTTCTTAACGCCCAAATAATGGTTTTATTTTTACCGCAAAATGTAACAATAATTCAAGATTTTATCACCATTGGTGGAAATCAAAGATAACTCTAAACGGAATTGAAACATATTAAAACGATTTTGTAAACATTCGGTATCTTCCATCTCTTTTCGGAAAACGAAGTTTAAGTGGTTTTTATTTTTTCGTTTCTGGCCTTTTCCACCACCGCCACTGGACCAACATCCAAAAACTACGAAGGTTTTTGAGTCTTTGAAATACTAGTGACCTTGCGTTAAAAGTTCATCAAAATCCAAGCGGTACTTTCCAAGTTATAGACGAGTCAAGGATCGGCGGACAGACCTACAGACAGACCCACTGAAATGAGTGTCATGCCTTTTCGTGATCTATACAGTAAAAAACAAATTTGTTTGACGGATTGGGTTCAATGTGCACGAGAGAGAAGTTAAATTAAGATTCATATTGAAAATATGCGTTAGTTTCTTCTTAACGCCCAAATAATGGTTTTATTTTTAGCGCAAAATGTAACAATAATTCAAGATTTTATCACCATTGGTGGAAATCAAAGATAACTCTAAACGAAATTGAAACATTAAGTTGTATCAAAATTGAAATAAATGAATAATTATTCTAGTCAAAATAAAAACAATGTTCGAACAGACCTTCTTCTTGGGTATGAAAGTAACCTAACCTCTTGTAGCAGCCTATGCGAATATTTTCTAGTGTAATATATTGGCAACGCGGCAGATTGCACGACCTCCCGCGTGACTGTTGCTAGCCAATGTGCTGATGACCTTCGCTGACCAGCTGGCTTCTACCTCTTTCTAACATACACACTTATCGCTCTTCTCTCTCGTACAGATTAAACGCAAGCCGTCAGACAAATTTGGTTTTCCCTGTATATCATGAAACATCTAAAAAACAATCGAAGTTTTTCCAGATATTACAGTGTAACTTTTCATTAAACGGGTGCAATACTGAAAATTCTACTTAATTTTTGGGACACTCAGTTTGCTACAACTGGTTGCTTTTTTTCTACGGTTTTCTCACTTTTTCTAGTTTGTTTTCCAACACCTTGGAATTGCAGTAGTTTCGGTAGGTCGAGATTTGAGAAACAAACGCATATCGCAGTAGAACTCATGGAAAAAAGCCCAAAAAAGTATATTCTTTAAAAAGAAAATGTTTTACTTATCCTACTTATTTAATAGAGTCATTCAGTCATTACATAGTTGGAACCATAATTCTGAGTTTATTTTACGTGTTAACTTCTCAAACAATTAATGCATTTCAGTATCAAATTGTTTTTTAATAGACTTGGTCAAGTAAAAATGTCAGCACCAAATATGTAGAAAAACGAATATGAAAAAAATTTTGAAGACAAGTGTTTGCAACGAAAGATCGTAGGCATCTCCATTTTATTTCAAAATGTGTATAATAAGGTGTTCCTTTCTGATACCAAAACGCATTTACTCAAAGATACGAAATAATTAACGCTTAAATATAGTGCTATAAAATGCCCCTTGAACCAAGCTTGGTAATATTGGCTGAAAAACAGGTGTTTTGGAATACCTACGCTACCGTCGTATTACAACCAAGAGTCAAAACCTGCATTTTGGTGAAGGTTTTGGCCATAACCTTTCTGATTTTGACCGAATCTTTTTATGAGTGATCTTACTTTGAAGCTATCTCAGGTGACTTAAAATTTCATATGAAGAGGGTTTTCGTTCACGAAAAAAATTTAAGCCTGTTTCTTTGTCGTTGAATAAACAGTTTTCCGATAACAACTGAGCTACCCATTTTATTTGCCAATGTTCATAAATGAAACGAAGAATTGCAATTATTTCGGAGCAATTGGCTGATATGATCAGGCTATATGGAGCTTACTGCAGCACGTTTAAGCTGAATAACAGTATCCAAAGGATTGCCCTGTCAGTTTGACATCAGCTTTCACATAGCTGTCAGATCTGATAGTTTGTTGATTAAATGTTGCGAACTATCAAAGCTATTCCACGGATTCTGCTTATAAGCATTGTACCGCTGGACTGTTTTACGTTAGCTGAATGCACTCAATAATAACAAGTCACATCTAGATAAATAATAATGCATTTTAAAATGGTATCCTGCTAGCTTCATGATGTCTATCTATTCCGAAATATTCGAGAACAAGTGAAAAATGACTTATTAGGCTCGACATGTAGTATTTTAATAATCGGAAAACTATTATGAAACGGCTTTTAATACTAGCGAAATGAAACCGCAATCAAGAAACCTCGGCATCTTACTTCCCTCTGAATGTGAAATTGACTAGAACGCAGACCCAATCTGCTTCCTATTGCATTCATTTTAGTTTGTCAGTTTGACACTGGGCTAATAAATGTTTCAATGAGTTGGAAACGTCATCATCTTTGATTTACGTATAGGTCAGGGTAAATTGCACTATATAATAGAAATAATTAAATCTCATAAAATCGAATGTAGTGATATACATATGGTGTTACTAGTGAAAGCAGATTCTATATATATATACATATATAGGGTGGCCCATCCATGTGTGGATGGGATATTACTCATAAAGAAATACATTTTGCGAAAAAAAGATTCTACTTTTTCTCAAAAATTTCAAATGCATCACCCTGTATATTTGTGCATGTTTGGATTCAGTTTTTATTAACTTTTTTTGGTATAAGGTTTGATTCAGATAAAATCACTAGATTTTGAGTTATTAAGCTTTTAATAGAACAACACACCGAAATTGAGGAAAAAATCACATCAACCATGAAAACAAAAGACAAACAGTGGGCTAGTTCCATATTGCCACTAAGAGTACATATTGGACATCAACACTAACAACAACCAGAGCAGTATAAATCAGCTTCAAGCGTAATAGAGAAAAACAACTATAACAACAACAGAAACAAGCAACTATCACTACTCAAGACCTAATCTACAAAAACTGCTCGGAAATATCTCCACCATGTTGAATACACAGTCGTAGTCTTTGGATAAATGACCGTTGTACATCCCTCAGCATGTGTTCCTTTATGTTCAGAAAATCATCCGTTCCTTCATATTTTTTGGGGTAGATGGTGAAAGAAGTCCATCGGTGTCATATTTGGTGATCTAGGAGGCCAAGATATAGGCGCATCACGACCGATCCAACGATTGTTACTCCAGGTGTCCAAATAGTTACCCACCCGATTATGATAATGTCCAGGTGCGCCGTCATGTTGGAAGTACATATGCATCCGAGTTTGCAGGTTGACATCCTCCAAAAGCAAAGGCAAATGCTCGATCAAAAAATTCAAGTATTCTGTACCTGTTAATCTGTTGTCGAAAAAGAAAGGCCCGATAACTTGTCTGCCAATAAATCCTCCCAAAACGTTCAAGCTCCATTTATTTCGGAAATCTATTTGCCTAACCCAGTAAGGGTTTTCCGTCGCATAATAGTGCATGTTATGCCTGTTGACAACATGTATGCTGTTAAAAGTATCCTCATCGCTAAAAAGAACATTATCCGGGAAAGTAGTGTCTTCACTCACTTTATTTAGCATTATACGTCTGTTTGTTGGTGGTTTAATGTCCAATAATGTAAACTGGGTTCGAAATTTAGTCACAAGCTTCCGAATAGCTCCCTCAGTAGGCCGACCAAATTGCCCATAAATTGGAAGCAGTGCTCGATGCACTCTCTTAACCGAGTATGAATTTTGATAGTAAAATTCAATAATTTGCAAGCATTGTTCGTTCGTAAGTCGATTCATGGTTAAATTATAGACCAAACTGAACAAGTTTGACAATGACACAAGACACGATTCACGCGTCATCTGTCAAAAACAGTGTTGCCAAAAAGATACTAGCAAAAGAATCACCCAGGAAAGGAACAAAATTTTTCTACGTGTTCCTCAGGTCAATTCGAGTGGACAAAGTCCAATGAACATGGATCCGCAAATGCTTCCTTATCGAGATAATGATTTTTTTTATTTTTAGGGTGCTATACTGTTGGAAAATTACTTTTATTTAACACAAAATTACTAGGTACAATGAAAATAACTATTCACAATAGTTGTTCAAAATGTCCACCTTCACACTGTAAACATAGTCTAGCCGGTTTAATAATGTGACTGGAGGCTTTCCCAATAACAAGAAGCGGGGTGACCAAGAAACTGCGCCCCCTCGTCCAATCCAACGCCCAGGAAAAGTGTTATTTAAGTACTTTTTGCAAAGTTCAATCAAACTGACACAACTACTCCGTCAACAAACAAACAAGCACCAGCATATTAATCGGGCAGTACAACATGAATGTGGACTTTAATTATTGTAAACAGTTGTTCTCATACGAACAGTATTAAATTTTTGTTAAATAAAAGCAATTTTCCAACAATATTGTGGTTTTCGCCCATTAAAAATAAAAAAATCATATCTCAATAAGGAAGCATTTGCGGACCCATGTTCATACGATTTTTTCGACTCGAATTGACCTGAGGAACACGCAGAAAAATTTTGTCCCTTACCTCGCGGGACACCCTGTATATATCGTTTGAGAATGCCATTACTGATCTGCCACAATTTATTTTCGTGCTAAGCGCCACAGTGTTTGTCTAATAACGGCTGACTTCTCACCCTATGGACGCAACGTACTGTTATTAATATTTATCGTTTTTTTTTTCTTTTCAGGATGTCTGAGCATAATCTGCACGGGCATGCACTTCGGCTGGCCGTCCCCATCCCTGCCACAGCTGATCCACGAAAGCTCCTCCATAGCTGTTACCCACGATGAAGGCTCTTGGTTAGCTGCGATGCCCTGCATTGGCGCCGCATCTGGGTCCATCATAGCCGCTGTCATCGTGGACAAGATCGGCAGGAAGACATCCATGCTACTCACTTCCCCTCTCTACTTCCTCACCTGGATCATGGTAGCGTACTCCCCTTCGGTGATGTTACTCTACATCGCCAGGTTCCTCGTTGGTACCTCAGATGGGGTCGCATTCACCGTGTTTCCTATGTACCTGGGGGAGATTGCCAATGCCAAGATCAGAGGCCTGCTTGGATCAAGCGTGCAAGTGTCCATGTTTATCGGAATGCTGCTCATAAACTCGATTGGGTCATTTTTGGACATCACTTATACTGCACTGATATCTGCAGGGGTTCCCATACTCCATTTCGTCACTTTTTGCTTCATGCCTGAAAGTCCATACTATTTGGTGATGAAGGAGAACTTAAAAGCAGCGGAAGGGAGTTTGAAGAAGCTATACAGATGCAAAGATGTAACTGATGAACTGAACGAAGTTATTGAGAGCGTAAAGGAAGACAAGGCAAATGATGGCAAATTTTGGGAACTCTTCACGATCAAAAGTAACCGAAAAGCAGTTTTTATAGTATTTGGACTACGTGCCTTCCAACAACTCAGTGGTACCAACGTCATAACCTTTTATGCAGGTACTATCTTCAATGAAGCTGGTAGTGATGTGCCATCTAGTATTTCTACCATAGTTTATTTCTCCGTTCAGTTGATAGTGTCTATCATAGCATCATTCCTTGTAGACAAATTGGGGAGAAAACCTTTGTTAATTTGGTCAATAATTGGTTCAGGAGCAGCTTTAGCAATGGAAGGAGTCTATGTCTACCTGGACGATTACACAGACGTGGATATGTCCCACTTAAAATGTGTACCACTTGTTGCCCTTATAGGGTATGTTACGATATTCAACATAGGAATGGGAACGATCCCTGTTCTGATGTTAGGTGAAATGTTTCCTACAAGTGTGAAGGCCGTAGCGCTTTGTCTAGCAGACATATTCTTCGGCGTTATAGTCACTATTATCTCCAAGTTCTTCCAATTCACGAAAGACAGTATGGGTCTACATGTGCCATTCTTCGTTTTCACATTGTCTTGCATAGTAGGGCTTATATTTATTATTCTTTGGGTTCCTGAGACAAAAGGGAAGACCCTGGAGGAAATCCAACATGAACTTAAAGGGGGAAATAAGAAAAATTCGAAAGTTGAAGGTTCTTAGTGGATTTTGCTGTGACGTGTTAGAAATGGCAAAACGTATTTACGGAGCACTGCATTTTTTGATATTGATGCCGTAAGTTTTTAGTGTTTTATTAGATGTGTATTTATTATTTTTATATGATATCAGATGTATAGCCTTTGGCTTTTTAGAAAATAAAACAAACCTGAAGAGTTTTAAAAAGAGATGTAGATATATACGAATAAAAAATATATTTAGTTTTAAAATTTTTGTTTTCATTGAAGTAACCATCGTATATTTTAATAAATCAAACTAAGGAATTGTCCAATCCTATCCTGTATTTGAACGTTTACGTGCAATTTCCGTCATCGCAGCCATGTTGCATTTTCTTTTTGAAGAAAATTATTTCATACGATTGAAATTATCCACTCAAAAAGTGCTGTGGGGAGGACCTCAGGAATCATGTTCGGGGTGGAGAAATGGAGGTTCGTCTGGAAATTGAAAAGTTCGATTTTTTTTAACTAGGTTATTATTTGCGTTTCTACTTCGGTAGACGACTTTTTTGGCCCTGGCCTCCATGTTTTTTCCAGTTTTTCATGTCCATTACGGAGGCAAAAAGGAAGCTAATTTAATACCTTTCTGATGGAGAGAAAAAACTGGAAGAAAATCAAGGACTGGACGAAAAAAAAAAGCGTGAGTAGTCCATAAAAAAACTACCCAAGTCCCGGGACTTTATATTGTTTGCGCAATGAACGTCGATTATGAGTCACAGCATTATTTGAAAGATGAATAACGTGTTCAGTAAAAAAAAGATATTTTGAAAAATGCACTTTAATACCGGCTGCTCACCTGCTTTATACCTCTGCATCTCAGCAGAGAGTCTCATTATTTTCATGAACTAAAAATATGTCAGGTGCAAAACGATCGAATATACCCCAGGTAGGTAGAAGTAATACTTCAGAATCCTACACCGCCTTGTCGGTCAGCCCCACGGATTCTGGGGGGCAACATCTTGACATCTCAGACGCAGCAGCGTACAACTAATAGTAGACGCGATCAACTGTCTACTATTGACTTGCGAAACTCTGAACAGATGCAAAGTTGCTGGGATAGTACCCAAACACAGAATATGTCTCAAGCTGGCCTATCTGAGCAAGATTCAACGACATCGTCCAATATATCACAAACAAGAACAAGAAAACAATGGACCATAGAGCAATATAAGGAGTTAATGTGGTGTTATTACTATGCAGAGATAACGAAACTAGAAGGGGGTGTGACAAAGCGTACGTATGAAATACGGAGAGAAAGAAATCCAGGCCTGTTTCCAAACATGAGTGCAAATGTTCTGTCCAACCAGAGAAGATTCATTGTAAAACAACAAAAGCTGGCAGAATTAGAATTACAAAAGATACAGGCTGATGTAAAGATAGCATTAAGTACAGCCAGTAGTTCTGGGAGTGAGGAAGACCTACCACCTGGTAGTAGGCAGAGCGTACGTGAAAGTTCAGCTATAAAGTTGGAAGTAAATGGCGAGAACAAGGATGAAGCTCGTCTAGACCATAATGGCGACGTGAATGAGACCGAACAACAGAAAATATCTGAAATGGAAATTAGAATCCGAGCGAAGCTAGTAGAGGTTCAAGCTATCGACATCAACAAACGAAATAGAATAAAAAAGGTGAGGAATAACAAACAAATAAATCATTATATATCAACAGTCAACAAAGCCCTACAAAATATCATAGACAATAAGAATCTAAGCCTCACTGAAATAAACAATCTGTTTTATTCGTGTGGATCAATTATCGGTAGTGAGGTAGAAGAAAAGCAGTCATACCAACGTTCTGTTAAGGACGCTCCGTGGAAGAGAAGAATAAAAAAGGAGGTAGAAGATTTCAGAAGCGACTTGGCTATTGTGAACGAAGTCATGAAAGGAGTACCCACATATCAAGTGCTCAAAAAGTATAACAAGATAAATGGGAAGTATGCAATAGAAGGACCGATAGAGGAGCTACAGACCCTTATCACGATGAAACGTGAGGCTAAGGAACAGCGGCTTAGAAGATATGAAAAACGAAGTAACCACTATCACCATAACAAGCTATTTGCTGAAGACACCAAAAAGTTCTACCGGCAGCTAAATAAACAGAGCAGTGTTGTTAAATGCCCACCACCGGACTCGCGAGTCGAAGAGTTTTGGCGAGGAATACTAGAGAATAAGATCTTGCATGATAGTGCTGCAGGTTGGATTGATAATGAAATTAGGAGACAAAAGTATATAAAACCTGACGATTGGACTGACTTAACGGTAGAGGAAATCACAGATACCATAAGACATGTGCAAGACTGGAAGTCACCAGGTCAGGATAAGGTGCAAAACTTTTGGCTAAAGCACATCATTGCGCTGCATGTACCCTTAATCAATGCGATTAATAGTATCATTAAAAATCCAGTAGATATGCCAACGTGATTGACTGCAGGAGTAACCTATTTACTCTCTAAAGGTAAAGATACAGCAGATCCAAAAAACTACCGGCCAGTCACTTGCTTGCCTACCATGTGCAAAGTGCTAACATCAGCCTTAACTAAAAGAGTATACGTACATCTACACAAAAACAAAGTGCTACCTGATGAACAGAAAGGGTGCAAAAAGGGGTCTAGGGGGTGTAAAGATCAGCTACTTGCTAGCAAGATGATAACATCCATCGCCAAGAAACAAAAACGTAATTTGAGTATGGCGTGGATTGATTATAGAAAAGCTTTCGATAGCCTACCACATACTTGGATAATGAAGACCATCGAATTATATGGCATTGCCCCCACAGTCTCTAATTTCATCCGGACATCAATGGAAAACTGGAAGACAGAGATACTACTGTTCCATTCCAACGGGTGTATAAAAACAAAAGGTACTGATATCAAGCGTGGAATCTTCCAAGGAGACACGCTTTCTCCTTTACTCTTTTGTATTGCCTTAATACCGCTGAGCAATATGCTGAACGAAGAAGGACTAGGTTTCAGTGTTGGTTTTAACAGGAAAATAAGTCATCTGTTTTATATGGATGACTTGAAGCTCTTTGCCAAAGACGATAAACAGCTGGAGAAAGAACTCTCAATAGTAAAAATATTTAGTGACGATATCGGTATGGAATTTGGACTTGACAAGTGTGCCAAGATTACTATGAAAAGAGGAAAAGTTGAGAGAAGTGAAAACATCAAATTGAACGACGACACGGAAATAAAAAACCTAGATAACGGTGAAACCTACAAGTATTTGGGAGTGGAGGAATGCGGGAGCATTGAGCACGAAGAGATGAAGAATCGACTGACAAGAGAGTACTATCGGCGTACAAGGCTTGTTCTCAAAACGGAGCTAAGTTCAAAAAACAAGGTAATAGCTATTAATTCAATCGCTGTCCCTGTGCTGACGTATAGTTTCGGTATTTTGGATTGGTTGAGAATCGATATACATAAGCTAGATAGGAAAACAAGAAAACTACTAACTTGTGAAGGTATGCATCATCCCAAAGCTGACGTTCAGCGTCTATACATTGCACGGCGTGATGGCGGACGAGGTTTAATAGAGTTAGAATATGCATATGACCTAGCCATTCTAGACCTGCATGAATACCTGAGCTCGGAGAAAGACAAATATACAAAAATGTTAAAAATCCACGATGCCCAGAAACGTAAATACTCTCTTGAGAGAGAAGCAGCGAGTATTAAATCAAACTACCAAAGTGACAACTCTGGGACGTCGACCACAAAGAGCCAAATCAAGGCCAGCATTGCTAAACGCAGAATGGAAATATTGGAAAATAAACCATTACACGGCCAGTTCTACAGAGACCTCAGTAGACCAGCCGTAGACAAAGACGCTAGCGTTGCATGGCTCCGTAGTTCTGGTCTGAAGGGCGGAACAGAAAGCTTCTTGATTGCTGCTCAGGACCAAGCCCTCAACACACGCTATCACCAAAAGCGCATACTTGGTTGCGAAGTGGACAGTAAGTGCAGGATGTGCAATCAAGCAGAGGAGCACATAAGCCACATCGTGGCTGGATGTACCACACTCGCACCTACTGAATACACAAAAAGGCACAACAACGTAGCAAGGTATCTACACTGGCTAATGAGCAAAAGGGCTGGTATAGAGGTCTGCGATAAATATTATGAGCACACTCCAGAAAATAATAAAGTTGTAAGCAATGAGGATATTCGAATCATGTGGGATGTTCCCATCATCCCTGATAGAACCATACCTGCGAACCGCACGGACATAGTGTATCTTGATAAAAGAACAAAAAGCTGCTTACTAGTAGATGTAGCGGTTCCTAACGATTCGAACGTAATGCTGAAGGAAGCAGAAAAGTTAAGCAAGTACCTGGAAATAGAGGTAAGCAGAATGTGGAACGTTAAGACCCGAACAGTTCCAGTCATTGTAGGAGCCCTAGGGACCCTTAGAAAGGGTTGCAGACCAACCTGTCACAACTACTAGGAAAACCATCTGTTGCTGAAGTGCAGAAAATAGCACTACTGGGCACTGCTCACATTATCCGCAAGGTATTAGGGTGAATCGCTTTGATCTCGGGTAGAGATCTGGATTCGCTTAAGAGCTTAAGAGTGTCACAATAGGACAAGAAGAAAACACTAAAATAATAATAATAATAATATGTATTCACCCTTAAACACAATATAAAAAATGTGTAAATGAATGTGAATGACGGGTTCATAGAAGGCATTGCCTGTACATGGACCGTTAATGTTGCAATTATGCATAGGATTAAAACACAGATTCAACTAATCATTTGATGTTTACATTTAAAGAAACTAGTCTTTCTTTTATTTTTTTTTTAATTATTCCTTTTTATATTTTCAGATAGATTAACGTGTACTTTTCTAGGTACATCCGAACCTCGTAGCTTATGCCTTGATTGGTGATTGTATGTGATTCTTTGATCTTTACTAATAAATTTGTGATAGTTAGTGATAGCATGCAATTGATAGAGTTGTTTCATGCAGTATACGTGTATATCTTTTTGGAATACAATTCTGGTTTGTTAAACATTGTTCTTAAAGTCATTTTTAGGGAAACTTTCCAAATCATAAATTAATATGAGTTGAGCATGCAGCTCCTCATGTCAATATACCATGGGTTAAGTTTGGTTCGATCATGATTTGCTATATAAATAGAGATATTTTTCTATTAGAATGTTTTTGAGGTGTTTAATTGCATTCGAGACAAATCAGACTTTTTTTAAATGAA